CTGTGTAGCCGTTCATGTGGCGGTACGAGTACGGCGTGCCGCGGTCGAGAAGAGTGCATGACCTGGTGCACGCACTCTTGGTGGTTGGCGATGTAGTCCAGACTGTCCCCCTTCTTGTTAGTCTGTTTTTTTTTTCTTCTTGTGCCGCGCTGTGCGCGCCTCGAAAAGACAAGGGGTGTGTCCTGCTCACCATGGTTGCATCCTTGAGGTTCGTCTGCGGGTTGCGCTTCTGCGTGTGGATGAAGAGAGGAAAGTTGGTGGGATCACGCAGGAAGAAGATGGGTGTGTTGTTCATGACGAGGTCCAGGTTGCCTTCCTGGGTATACAGCTTGACGGCGAACCCTCTGGGATCACGCGCTGTATCGGCCGACCCCTTCTCGCCGCCGACGGTGGAGAAGCGGGTGACGAGAGGCGTCTTCTTTCCTACGCCGGTGAAAGCATCAACAGAGCAAATGTCGCTGATGTCATCCGTCACCTCAAAGAAGCCGTAGGCGCCAGCGCCCTTGGCATGGACGACTCGCTCGGGGATGCGCTCGCGGTCGAAGTGAGCGAGGAGGTCGATCAAGTGGAAGTCCTGGAGGAGGAGAGGACCCATCTGACCGACACGCTGGAAGGCCGTCGGATTGGCGACGGGAGCGCCATTGGATGTCGTGTAGACGGGCTTTTCGTCATAGATGGAGGTTGGCGGCGTCTTGTTGTTGCTGCTGTCGTCGGCCATCGTGATGGTGTCTCAGGCGAGGGTGGGATCGAGGATACAGGCGACTTGGAGATTGAAGCACAAGTGGAACGATATGAGGAACGACAGAGATATCTTGAGAGAAAACTTTGTGGATCACAAAGGCTGGAGGATCTCCATCACATATACAAATGGCAGGCCAACTTTTCAAACCCCGAGCTCTGCCATCAAGCTCGGAGCCCAGCGCGTCCCACTCGCCCTCTATCCTGCTTGCTGAACGTTCCATCCTCGACGACAAAGTGGGTGATAAAGCTGCACACCAGGCATGAAGCAGGGATTTGAACACAGCTCAGGTGGATCTCGATCCAATCAGTCGCCGGCAATAAGCAAGCGTGGGTGAGATGGCGCTCAACGAGAGTGGTCGCCCTTGACACATCGTCACGGACATGACTCGGTGTGATTCGGGATCAGAGGCCAAGAGCGCGTGAGGGTGAGGGCGATATGTGTGTCTCTCCGGCTCTGCCCATTGGTCTTTGAAGGTCGCCTTTTGGCCAACAGGTGAGTCGAAGTAATACTCGCTTGGAGCGGTCGAGAGCCTCAGACTCTGAACAGTTACTCGCGATCAAATGGAGGCTCGCTATACGGCAACGAAATCTGAACGTCGAACCCCTGTACGCTGATATCATAGCACTCGGCTCGACATGCCAGAAACAGAGGCCCGCTGCCGTCTGTGGCCTATCACGCGGAATCCCGCTGTCCGCTGCCGCTCCACACCGGCCCGGTAATCTCGACGTCTCTGGGTAGCGCGTCGATAGAGAGACGAAGACATCTGCCTCGATTTTGCAGCAGTAGATCAGGAGTGAGTGGTTTGCAGATCTATCTCGCACCCAGACTCTAGTTGAGTTCCTGAAGCTGTAAGATGTATGTATTTTCACAGCTTAGTGTCCGAGAAATCGGTGAAACACGAAACGAGAAGAATGAGTATGAGGTAGCTCCAAGTATGATCAGAGTGGCTTAAATCCAGAGACCGGCATATCCTACTTCAAAGATCAGGGAACATCCCCAACACAGTCAACCAATACCGCGAAATCAACACGAGCAGGATAGATGGCAGTATGTCACAGCCTCGGGATGGGTGACAGACAAACCTCGTAACGAATAGTGACTCGCACGATTCTCCATTCTCGTACTACCAACCGTCCCTCGAACTCCCAATGAAGCACGGTAAACAACTCGGCACGGCATCACAGCATCTTCCAATACAGTCTCCTCCCGTCACCGTGATTGCCCTTGAGTAACCCTGAATCAGTCACCGCAGCGACCCGTGCCGCAAGCAAACTTCTGGCCCAGCCATCGCATAAGAGAGAGGCCTCTTGACCGACTGTCTGAAGCTCTCGTTTGACTGTAGGCCTGCTACTGTCCATCACCCACTCTTCTACTCTCACGCACCCGCTCCGTAACCAATATGAGACTTTTCATATCCCTACAGGCTGCCCTGCCAGCAGTCCTCGCTCTCTGCCAGAATCACCCCTGCGACCAAGGCTGCATCCCTGCAGACAAGATCTGCTGCTCGCCCGTCGACCCTTCCACAACCCCTTTCGCCTGCCCTCTCGACTATACTTGCGGTCCCAGCCTCGAGTGTCGGCCGCCGTCGCCCGCTGCCGGACCCGTTGAGACCGGTATACCCCTCTGCGCTCCGCCCTTCGTCGCTTGCGGCGCCACCTGCACAGCTCCCGATGCCGTCTGCTGCGAAGATGGCGCATGGAGCTGTGCCGCCGGCCCTCGAATGCGCGCCCGCGCGCGCTTCAGTGTGTCGCGCCGCTTGCCCCGCCGTCGCCGCCATCATCGTCGAGAAGCCTTACCAGTCAAGAGGGGCCTGTACAGCCTACCACTGTCGTAGATGTGACGATGCCAGGAGGATATGGAACCGCGGACGCGAGCCAGACCTCGGAGCCCGTCGCGGGCACTTCAAGTTTAGATGTGGCTTTCACTTCGATGTTCGACGCAGCGAAGACGACCTCGACAGATGGCCTAGCCTATCCCGCGCCGACTCTTGAGTCGTCAGCTTCACCGGCGTATAGTGTGTATCAATCGACAGTGACGACCCTGGATTCGTCCAGCGCTCATGGGTCCGCTGCGAGCTCCTTGGCCGAAGATACACCAGCTTTATCTTCAGTGTCTCCTTCGCAGTCCGGGTCGGCGGATGAGGGAGCTGGTGGTCGCGTCGAAGTGTCAGTTGGTGCGACGCTGATGGGTGTTTTGCTCGGTGCTGTCCTTCTCGGTTGAGACTCAAATTCTCTGCGTCTTTCCTCAAACCCCATCCTCGTAATAGCTTCTTCATAATAGCCTCCCAAAATGTTGGCATTCGATATCAAAGTGCTGCAACAACACGTCATAAGCAAGTGATTCACCAGAACGAACGAGGCCACGGCCCCGTCTCGATATTAAAAAGTTGTACTGCTCTCAGCAACCCAATAGACTGTAGCGGCAGCCTGAGAATGCAACCTGTCTATAGCCCTCTCCATCCAACGCGTCGTTTCCGTGACGGCGACCAACGCGCTCATATGCGCATGCCACATGCGTATGTGTGAAAGGGCCACGCCCAAAAAGACGTGACCGACAAGCCTCCCTCGCCCGAACGCCGATGCTCATGGAATGGAGCAAACTCGTGGCTCTCGCACCCTGTACCGTCCTTCGCTGCCCCTCCTTTCCAGATGCGCGGATCTACCCAACGTTGGGAAGGCTGCTGAGCGTGACAGCTGTTCATATGCGGTGTAATTGATTGCTGGAAGGTGTTGTACAAGATCGACGGGCCGCTTAGGCTTCCTGGTTGACGGTTTGCTGCTACGAGTCAGTACAGCGCTCAAGCCACACACCGCTGAGGCCACTTACCACAAGCCAATCCATGCCTTCGTTGACACCGCTGCCGTCAACGGCAGAGCACGCCATGATGGTCCAGTTGCGGTCGCGCAGCTCGCCGAGGCGCAGCGCCTCGGAAATGTCCCCCGCTCCCTTGGCTCCTGGCTGGTCCTGTTTGTTGGCGAAGACGAGCAGCGCCGCGTCCTTGAGCTCATCCTCGTTAAGCATGGCGCCCAGTTCGTCGGCGGCGGTCTGCAGACGCTCGATATCGGTCGAGTCGAAAGACGAAGATGACGGCTGCCGTGTTGGCGTAGTAGCAGCGT